TGACTCCACCATGGATAGCCCACACAAAGTTACAATTGAGGGCAGCATACACCAATCATAATTAACAGACAGTCAAGGCAAGGGAAGGGGAGGCAACGCGAATTGTGATAAAATTAGGTGATGAGCTTTGGTATGCAAGATTACATTTTACATCTGATGATTCATAATAAAGTAGCAGAATATGAATTGAGCATCTACTACAGTATTCTGGAATAAAATTAATATCAATATACAAGGCATATCACTGCTATAGAAAACACAGATACACATACTTTTCACAATGTATTGGTACTCACCATCAATGGAACCGGTGTAGGCCTTTTTACTCTGAAGAACACAACCACAATAAATGTTGGCAATAATTCCCAGACAAATAATATAATTCCAAATGTAATATATTTATATCCTTCAAGGTCTACTGCATCTGCCTGCAAATGTACATATTATAGAATTATTGATTAAAGAAATTATTCAGGTGAAGTCAATATAGTTTCTTTCAAAATATATTGAAGATCCAATTACCAACGAGTTAATGGTATTCTTCAAAACCAAAGTTTGTGAAAATCGCTGTACTATCAAAATGAAAATTATTTCAGGAAACTCACGAAAATTTGTCTTTCAGGAAAATAAAGCAGTTTATCATGGTACAATTTTACTACAGAAACTATTGAATTATGGTCAATAAAAAAAAATGATTATTCAATGTATCCTTTTAATTTTTGGTGTTCAAAAAAAATTCAAATTTGCCAAAATCATCAATACCATATATGAATGCCCATGTACTGGATGGGGGTTTAAAGTATGGTATCAGGACTAACTGCCAGAGTAAATCTAGGTCAGGAACAAAGTTATTCAAAAATTTAAACAAGCAGCCTATCGGCTGAGATAGCTCCGCTGTTAGCAATGCACATTTCAATTAAAGAAAAGAAGATACCATTAGAAAATGAACAATATGTATAGTATCAAAGCAATCGGACTTACAGTTTTTAACAAGAAGTCGAAAATATCACTTTCTACCAAAAATGACCAAAATATTCACCAAAATTAGAGAATTGAAGATATCATCACGAAATGAACAAATCTAAGAAAGGTCTACATGTAGTATCTATATAGTAATATCAAAGCAATTGAACTTTTGGTTTTTAACAAGTCGAAAATATCACTTTTTACCAAAAATTACAAAAATATTCACCAAAATTAGAGAATTGAAGATACCATCACAAAATGAACAATTCTGAGAGAGGTCGACATGTAGTACCTATATATGTAGTATCAAAGCAATTGGACTTGCGGTTTTTTACAAGAAGTCGAAAATATCACTTTTTACCAAAAATGACAAAAATATTCACCAAAATTATAGAATCGAAGATACCATCACGAAATGAACAAATCTGAGAAAGGTCTACATGT